CGCGATCATGATACGGGAAAAGGTCCGTTCGCAATCTTTGTATTCGCAATCGTTCCATTCGCAATCTTATATCACCCATTATACAATTGTACCTTTTTTTTTTTTTCCTTCTTGAAACCGGGAACGGGAAATATACAATTGTACCTAGTCCAATAACTTTGAAAATATCATATTCAAATATGCATTTCTAGGTACATCAATATTGCGAATGTTKAACAATACATTTACCGAAGACATTTTTAAACAAACCCTTAGAGAATTCATACACACAGAGTAAGTTAATTTGATAAAATATATGAACAATATTTTTAATTTTAATCAAATTTTAAAGTACTTTGCATAATACTCGTATATTAAAAACACTATAATACCGTATTTATACATAAGTATTGAAACACCTTTATGTATTAGTAATGAAGGAAGCCATGTTATAAGTTAATAAATACACCACACTTTTCTTTTTTTTTTAAATCATTTATTAAAATAGTTTTTTACAAGCTGTACTATAGGGTWCAATAAGTAAATGTTTAGTTTATCAATGAGTAAAGGTGGTGAAAGACTTGAAGGCGCTTCACATTAGAGGCACCTGAGAGCAAGTGATTTACTTAAAAGTTATGCATTTGAGATTARGTATTGAGTAGGTCTTTAAGCCAGTGGCATCTTGGTGAATTTCCTGGAAGATAATTGGAGTAAAGTTAAGCKATGAGGCTTTTGGAGTGATCAGCCATTTTGGAGTGTAGAATAAACCTCATTCATAGCATGAAAAATTAAAAATTTAAAAATAAAATTTAACATACAGAAAAATTTATATGTATTAAATATATTTTATASTTTTCAATGTCACGAAAAAAACAATAATGTAAAATCGTATTTAATTAACTAATAAAAAAATKATTTTAAAATGTATTCAGTGGTAGTAACAAGGGGATTCTAAATATTATATATTTTTACTTTTTTAAAAAAAAAGCAGTACTCATTTTAAACTACATTAATTTAATTCTACAAAAAATGTTTAGTACTCGGCACAAATTGATTTTAGATTCTAAGTGAAACGATGGATTCATTGATTTTACAATTTTATTTATTTTTAAGTTTTATGTCATTCACACCTTTCGGTGCAGAAAAAATGCTTAGATTTTCTACTTTTATATCTTTTTTGATGGCAAAGTGAATCTAGTTGGTACCTTTGGAAAATAAAAAGTAAAAACATTATTGTATACTTGTAATAATAATTTATCATAACTAGATAATTTGAATATTTTTTTTGCATTTAAAAATCTATAAACTTAATGTATCTCATATTTTGAACCTCTTTAGCTAAGAGTTTTAACAAATCGTGCACTCAATTATTTGGAGTTTATTTTAAATCTTTCCGACTTTGGAAGTCGACTTTATTTACATATATATTTTTTGTACTGAGATTTAAACGTAATAATTTAAAGTTGTTGTACATAAATAATTAAAATATTGATCTAAAATATATTAAATACTATTAATAAATAATAACATACAACATATTATTACGATATTAAGTATTGAAATGGATGTACTATAAACTAAACATATTAATAGTAGAAATAGATATTAATAATATTAATATAATAATAATGAAAAAATAATTAAGTGATACCTAATGGTTTTAATGACTGGTAATTAATACCAAAAAATTCTATTAAACAATAAATTAATTTAGGACTGTTATAATTGTAGCAACTAGTAAGGACTAATGACTGAAATAATGGGCTGATATATTAGTGGGCTGGTCGCTATCCCCTGATAATAAAGTTTAAGCAAGGAATTATTGTTCCTGGATAAAGTAGGTATTGGTAAAATATCTGGTTACTTCTAAGCATGATTTAATTTTTTAAATGTATGACTGTAGCCTTGTTTTAAGGTGATGGTTTTTTTTTAAATATAACGTATAGTGCTTCTTAAAGTCTTTTGTTTGGCACACAACTAATTTTTTAGCTTATTTGTGCATCAAAACATATTAGAGTACATTTAGTGGGTACATTTTATATTTATATTATTTTATGTATCCATATACTTTTTAGAATTTACAAATATAAAGATACAATAAGTTTTTGGACGTTGTTGGACGATAATGCCAGAAACAAATCCGTGAAATTACCAGAAAGCTCTGCTGTCTTGCAGATAGTAGATACGTGGATGAAAAACAAAAACTATCCGTTGATAAAATTACAAATCGACGGCGATGATTTARTTATAAAACAAGTAATAAATTGAGTTCGATTTCTGTATTGTACTTTTATAATATAACAATGGTATAACATATTTCAATATTTGTAACTATAACATTATTGTCTTGTTTTTATCTGTCAAGTTTCGATTCGATTACGATGAACCTAAACCGACCAATGATTGGGTGATTCCAATCACTTTGACTAATGGCGCTGGGTACAGCACAACAGTGTGGCTTGAAAACAATCCAGAAACCAGAGTCCCAGGATATATTTCATCATCGAATGGTACTTGGATATTGGCCAACCTACACCAAACAGGTTAGGTCAGTGATATAAGAAAAAAAA